CCCCAGGCCTTGGACTTGGCAGCAGACACCTCGTTCCAGATCTGTTTCAAAACCTCTTAGCTCTCCTCACTCGCCGAGGCAAGCCTAGCACGAGTCCCAGCTTCCTTGGGAATTTGCCAGCACCCCCAGGGCAGGGAGAGGATTAACCAGACCACTTGCTCAGTTCTGAACTGTGATGTCATGAAGAAGCTTGAGTGGGGAACACACTCCCTGAAGTCTAGTTATGGTCTCAGCTATTGGGGTTAGGCAGAGACCAATGACGTATTTAATTCCAAAATCCCTGGAGAGTTTGATAATTTGGGTTTTTACTCTCCCCATAGAATCTGAGGAGCAGCTTTGACAATCAGTAAAACGAAGTTAAAATTCTTTCAACTATACAAAAGGATTGTTTCCTCTGCCTCTTGGTTTCATTTGGGTGCTTTTACTGTTAATTCTTAGCCCTGGTCTAGGTTACAAGACTCCAGGTCCTAGACTACACCACTTTTTCTGTTTATCCAAGGAAAAGCAAATCCCTTTGAAGGACAAAGAAAATCAAACATGAAGCCTCCCAGTCTTCTCTGGAGGCCCTACAAGGTTCTGTTTTGTCTTTTCAGCTGTGATCTTAGCTCAGAGAAGGTCATGTTTTGTTTTTGTCTTTTGTCTTCCTGCCCGTTCCAGTTGGTTCCAGTCTTTTGAGGTGGAGATTGCTGGGAGGTCACAATGTCGGGATTGTTTAGGAAGACAGTTCTGGGAGAGTAGGGCTGAGGTCATTTGCCCAGTGTTCCGAGAAGCCCAGAAGCAAAAGACTCAGACATTCAGCCCATCACTGGTTTAATTGTTGGCCTTTCTCTACAGGTCTACTGGCTCTGTTTTACAATGAAAAGTCAAGACATGCAATGAGTGTCCGTGATTTTAGAGATTATGGTGTTGGAATATTTGAGCTCAGGAGGCCTTGGAAATTCTGAAAGATTCTCTAAAATATTTCTCTCATTCATAATAGATTTCCTCACTCTTTGTGAACTTAGAATCCCCTCCCCCCCTTTTTTTGGATGGGCAAAGAACATAGAAGTGAAGAACAAGGATTTTGGAACTAGAATTTGAACTCCACTATGTATTTGCTGTAGAGCTATCTGTATAAGTTACTCAACCTTTCAGTTCCTCAGTGTCCTCGTGTGTAAGTGTGGACCTTGGTACCTTTCTGTTGTCTCACAGATTGCTGTGAGGGTTAAAGAGGCTGCACATGTCTGGCATACAATAAGCACTCAATAAGTGATAGCTATATTGTAGGGTATAATAGGGAAAACAAGTTGTAAAAGTCAGATGTGAGTGGACTCTCTCCCATTAGAGAGTCCGCTATTGCCCTATGGTAATATTTGGCAACAGCACAGGAGGTGGCTGGGTTTTCTGAGACAAGGCAACTCCCGAGGAAGGAAAAGGGGATTTAAAAAAAAACAACAAATTGGCATTACAGAGAATTCCAGGCATATATAAAGAACTCCTATCTGCTATCACCCATCTGCCAAAATTATCAACATTTTTTTCTCTATTCATGATAGAGTGCGTGCATGTGCACAAGAGACAGAGAGAGAGAGATGCACACCCAGTACAGGGTCACTGTGGCCCCCTCCTCCAGGGTCACTGTGGCCTCTCTTCTCCAGTCCTCTAGCCTGTTGAATCTTGGATACTCATGCACATGCCCAGCATATTTCAATCTAATGGACTAGGGAGTTGAACCATGGTCACCATGTGGAATCCAGCTTCTCTTGAACAGTAAGTTACTGCTGTGCCAGAGCCAGCCCCAAATTATCAGCATGTTGAGAAATATTTCATACATGTCCATCCCTTGACCACTTACCATGGAGTATTTTATAGCAATCCCATGCATTATATCATTTCACCTATAATGTACTTTTTTATTTTAAAGAAAAAGAATTATTTATTTATTTAATTCCATTTGTTAATGTTTTTTTAATTTGACCAGAGAGAGACAGAAAGAGGGAATAAGGGAAAGGGAGAAAGCAAGCCGCCAGGTCTGGGACTCGAACTGTGGTGGGCATGTGAGAATCCAGCGCCTTTAACCACCATGCTACCTGCCAGCCCCAATTATATATATTTCTAACAAATGACATTAAAAATATTGTCAACCTGTGGTGTGCTGGTTCAGGTGGCTGGATCCCTCACGTCTGACCACAGAGTTCAAGTCCCAAACCTGGCAGCTTGAGCAGCACATTGGCTGTACATATGAGCATGCTCAAAATCCCAAAAGGAGGGAGAAAAAGAGAAAGGATTGTGGTATGAGTGTTCTCCATGGAGGGTGCCTTCTCACCACTTCTCACCTCTCCTGGCAAGTGCACACACCCTCTGGCAAATTCTTAAAAATATATAATCAGCCTAAAAAATTAATAATTATTCATTAAAATTGTCTAGTACTAGGATAACCATATGTCATGGTTTGGGACAGACCAAACGTACTCTTGTTGCCAAGTGTAATTATTCATAATGCCCTGGAAGGGAGATTTAACAATCCTGATGATGGCTGTGTCCCTTTTCTCCTTTCTCCTCACCCCATGCCGTATCTCCTCTCTCGTGTATGCTAATACCTCCTTCTTCCTTTTCTCATGCGTGACCCAGTTTTTTCTTCTCCAAAATGCATCCAGGAAGCATCTGGAAAAATTTCTCACCTGGGAATATTAGAGGTGTCTACTTGATTTGTTCTGAATTTGAAAGAAGTTTCTTCCTAAAGACTTTGAGCTTTCTCCAGGGGTTGCAGCAAAATCTGTAGCAGTTTTCTGGTTTGCATCTCATAACCTGAAGGAGAGAAGAGGGTGAGAATCTGCTTCAAAGCAGGATGATTTGATAATAACAATTGACAGAATTCTAACTAAACAGAAAATTGTTGGGCCAGCTCTGTGGCCTGATGGTTAAGGCAGCTGGATCCCACATGACCAACCGTACCATGTGAGTCCCAGACCACGAAGCTTGAGAAACGCACAGGGCACACATGTGTGCCCCAAATCCTGCAGTAAGGGAGAGGTATAATAGAATTATAACTAAACTGGGGGCCATGGTTTGCCTCCACTTAAGCTTTGTGTCCTTAGATGAATCTCTTCTCCATTTTAAGCCTTCCCTAAACACCCCCACCCACAGGACAGCCCTCCACCTCTCCCCACTCTCGTTTATCCACAATTGTGACTACACTGTAGTTTTATAATTGGACTTTGCTTAGAGTTTCTTGTAAAACTCAAAGGCAGAGGAACTCTCATTTGCTTTGGCATCTCCAGTGCCTAGGACAGTGTCTGGCACCTAAGTGGTTGCTGAATGGAGATACTTATTAACTGGATAGGGGCTGGATGATGGCATAGCAGTAAAATGTGATGCTCTGCAAGGCTGATCCCCTTGGGAAGATTCCAGGTTCTTATCCAGTGACCTCCTAGAGTACATCAGGCATGCACATGGCCATGATCTGGGACTGGCTGCAGCTGGGATGGATCAAGGTCAAGACCCTGTAAAACAAATGAGCCCTACTCTTCACATCTGTCAGAATGAGACTAGGTTCTCCTAAGGTGTCTCAGGTTTCACAGCTTCCTGAAGTCACTCAGCTAATTTAGGATGGAGCGTGACATTCCTAGCTCAGAAAGGTAGGAAGGAGACAGAGGGAGACCAGTGACTAACTTCCTTCCCCAGCCCTGTTTTCCGTGTCCTCCTTTGGTCTCCTCCTCCTCCTTCCCCACATAACTCCTCCTCACACACGTCTTTATCTTTTTTTCTCTGTGTATTGTTGGTTCTTAGGACTCCCTGGAATATCCAGAAGCTGATTCCATCATGGCAGAACTCAAGGTGGAGACCCGGGCCAGTGTGGACTGGCAGAAACGCTGCCTGGCCCTGGAAACCCAGCTTTTCCGGTTCCGCCTACAGGCCAGCAAGATAAGGGAGCTGCTAGCTGACAGGGTGAGTCCTCAGGAGCTTGGCTGCAGAGGTCTTTGTCAGAGAGGGAGAGTTGGGGAAGGTGAACTTTTAGTAGATGCTCTCCACACAAGCAGAATGAAACCCAAGGTCATTCTTTGTTTGTTTTGTTTTTGTTTTTTTGAGATCTGATCTTATTTATTTGTTTCTCTTACAAAACATTACTTTTGACTGGACTCAGACTTAGAAGTAGAAGCTCTCAGAGAGGACAGCCTGCATCTCTTGGCAATCTGTTCTTGGCATTTTTCTTTAGCCTCCTTCATTCTCTTAGCCAAAAGTTTAGCATATTCTGCTGCTTCTTCCTTATTTTTAGTTCATTGTTTCTTGAGAGGAATACTCTGGCGTTTGTGTTGCAGGACGCATGGAGTCACAAGACACTGACTCTTAGGTGCTTCAGTCTTAGATTTCTTACCTTTATTTAAGGACTTCCGTACAACATATCAGTGGCCATCATCTCCTTTAGAGAGATTGAAACGTTTTCGGATTCTGCTAGCTCTCTTAGGCCCCAGGCGACGAGGCACTGTGGTATCAGTCAGTCCTGGAATATTCTCCTCTCCTTCAAAAAAAAATATTCATTTTCCTTCCTTCCTTCATTTATTCATTTATTTATTTTTAACTTGACCAGAGTGACAGAGTGAGAGAGCACGAGAGAGAGGAAAAGTGAGAAAGCAAGCCGCTAGGTCCAGGACTCAAACCATGGTTGGCCGTGTGCGAGTCCAGTGCCCTTAACCAGCATACCACCTGCCAGCCCCTTCTCTCTCTCTTTTTTTTTTTTTTTTACAATAACCAAGTTGGGAACTTGTAAAAGCTCAGACTGACATCCACAATGCAACCCCAAACAGATTTGTGCTTTTTCTCTCTAGTTCTCCCTGGTCTGTAACAGGAATATCCCTTACTCAGTAGCAGGCGGACACAACCGTGAGTCAAGACACTCTGCCTTATGGAGAAACTTCGTTTGTCGTTTCTACCACTGATTCGGACTACATAACCCTCCCATTCTTCACCCAAAGCATCAGCAGCAACTTCTGTGGTCATACGCTTCATAAAAAGTACGAAGTTTGCGTTCATCATTCATTTCAATGAGTTTGTGGTAGCCAGTGGCAGGGAAGAAGCTATTCAGCTTCATCATGAAGCAGCTAATCTCCTCTCGCTTGTTTTGTTTTAAAACCAAACTCTGAGCAATTTACTAAGTTGTCATTTGGATTCTTCCCTGCTCTGCTCCTTCATAAGGCATACTAAGGAAATGATTGCTCTATCTTCCATTACCTTTTGAGTGGTTTGCACAGTGGAGGTCCTATTATTCCTTTCCCATTTCTTCTTCAGTGTGAGGAAGGAAAATATTTTAGGAAAGAATGCAAACCTACTGCTCTCCCTTTAGTAAACATATAAACTATAGAAGATGGCCTGGTTTCCTGGTGACAAGGACACAGGCTCTGGAGCCAGATCCACCTGGCTTTGCCACTTACAGCTATATGACCCTGGGCAAGTCCCTTTGCCCCTAAGGGAGGGACACCATGTCTACTTCTTGGAGATGTTTTGAGAATGATATCAGACCATGGATATACAGTTCTTGGCACAGAACAAGTCTTACATGGGAACAATTATTATCTTTACAGCTTTAGGTGGGCTAATCCAGGATGTGTTTAGTGTGTTTCTGTGGGAGGATACATTCTGAACAGCTGCTTTCAGAGGCATTTTGGAGTATAACCTATCGAGAGAATGGAAGACCCGCACTTAACTGGATTTATGTATATTTATCTTAAGTAAGTCAGCCATTCTCTCTATAATTTTGTTTATGATATCCATCTGCTTAGCAAACTCTTCTTTCATTGTACAAAGGTAAAAGTTACCTCACCCTTCTCCAAGCAGTGTCGAAGTCTTGATTAGTAAAACCTGAGTAAATAACCTGTTTTATTGGTAGCTGTTCAACCTGGAGTCCTGGAAGACTAGTCATTGGTGTCACCTCTGCACTGCTGTGGCTCTGAACTAGCCTGGACTAGTCCTCTTGAACCTTGGGTTTGTTGGCGTGCTCTCTCCTAGTTCAGACTTTGCAACACAGAGACCTGCAGGGTTCTGTGGGTACCTGCCAGGTACTGCCAATAGAAAAGGGAGACTCCAGCCACCTCAAGGAAAGGGCAAATGGTGGTTCTTAAAAGTATGGTCAGAATCATCTTCTCAGAACCACCTAGAGTGCTTGTTAAACGTGTATATCCCTGGGCCCAGTTCCAATCCTCTTGATCCAAGTTTCCCAGGATGCTGCTAAAAATCTGCAAGCTCCCAGAAAATGGTTTTGGACAATCCTGTAAAGTGTGAGGACCTTGTTCTGGCCCCATAACGCAGTGCTTAAGAGAGCAGGATCTCATTAGCTGACCACAACTCGAATCCTAGCCCCAGGGACTTAAAAACACACCAGGTATGTGTGCATGTGTGCCCCAGATCCCAACAGAATGGAGAAATGAACAAGAAGGGATTGTGTTGTGACTGTTCCCCACTGGGGAGAGGTGCTTTCTCTGTCTCTCTCTTCTCTGATGAACATGTGCACCCTCTGGCAATTAAAAAAAGTTTGCCTCAGGCTATGACATTGGTGGAGGAGTAGGAGGGGAGGAAAGACTAAATATAGAGATTGACTCAGCCAGGTGGTCTGAAGCACACTTCACAGAGAAGGGACTTTTATTTCTGGTAATATAGACAATAAAATAACCTTAGACAACAAACAAACAAAAACTCCACTATGAAACACAGAGAAATGCTGCATTAAATATTTTAAATGTCCTTCTAAATACAGAGGTGAACACTGAAAAAATGAAGAGCAGTCCTTAGGGAGCAAAATGAAGAGGGAACAGGCTGGTAGGTTTCATGGTGGCTGGGGTCGCTGGACTCCCACATGGCTGACCACGGTTTGAGTCCTGGACCTGGCGGCTTGCTTTCTCACTTTCCTACTCTCTCCTGCTCTGTCCCTTTGGTCAAATTTAAATAAATAAATATACAAATAAGTAAAGTTAAATAAAATAATTCTTTTTAAAAAAAAAATGAAGGGGAACCAGCAGTTAGCGTAATGGCTATGTCGCTGGACTCCCATGTAGTCGACGGTGGTTCGTGTCCCGGACCCGGTGGCTTAAAAATCACGCCGAGAGGAGAATGGAGAAGAAGGGATTGCGGCATGACCATCCTCCCTGGGGGGTGATTTCTCGCTTTCTGTCTCTATGTCTCTCTCTGTCTGTCTGGCGAGCGCACGTGCCCTACAGTGAAAATCTCTCCAAAAAAAAAAAATGAAGGGGGGTGCTGGCAGGTGGCATGGTGATTAAAGACGCTGGACTCCTGCATGGCCAACCGTGGTTCGAGTTCCGGACCTGGTGGCTTGCTTTCTCACTTCCCTTCTCTCTCGCTTTCTCACTCTGTCCCTCTCTGGTCAAATTTAAATAAGTAAAAGTTAAATAAAATAATTCTTATTTTTTTAAAAAAAAAAGTGAAGAGGGAAAAGCAAGAATGATACTCAGCTGGCAGCTGAATGAGGTGGGGGTGTGGATGGCTTCCCTTAAGTGAAGTAAGGTTTATGGTTTCAATTTTAACATCTGCAGAGACAGAGGTGATGTCTGGCCAGATGGAAGTTGGAGCTGAAAATAAAACTTCCACATAAAGTCAAAACTAGGGCTTACCCTAAATAAAAAGATAGACAAAGAAAATTATTCACCAGCTCAAGGAGATGATAAGATCTTCTCAAAATTAAGGTTCTGAGGAAAAAGAGAGAGAGAAAGAGAAAGAGGGCCAGCAGGTGGTGAGGTGGTTAAGGTACTGGATTCCCACATGGTCGACCACAGTTCAAGTCCTGGACCCCAGTGGCTTGAATATCACACCAAGTGCATGTGCCTTCATGCCCAAAATCCTGAGAGGGAAATGGGAAGAAGGGATTGTAGTATGGCCATTCCCCTGGGGGGGTGATTTCTTACTTTCTCTCTTTTTTTTGGAGAGGTTTTTGCTATAGGGCATGTGTGCTCGCCAGAAAAAGATAAAGACAGAAAGCGAGAAATGACTCCCCCAGGGGGGATGGCCATACTGCAATTCCTTCTTTTCCATTCTCCTCTTGGGATCTTGGACATGCACGTACATGCGCCCAGCATGAGTTTAAGCCACTGGGTCCAGGACTCGAACCTCGGTTGACTACATAGGAGTCCAGCGACATAACCATTACACCAACTGCTGGTCCCTTTACTTTCTCTGTCTAGCAAAAACATGTACCCAATGGCTAAAACCTAAAAAATAAAGAGAAATAAAAGTCTCCCCTGTCCCCCCCTAAGAACCTGATAATACTATTGATTTAACATTAGGATTTATACAACCTCTTTGTTTAGGAAACCTAAGTTCTGGACCAATGATAACCTTGGCAGCCTTATAGTAACAAGTATAAAACCTCTCTGGAGAAAATATCTCAACCCAGATAACACAAGATCCCCACAGAAAAAAAAATGTGTTAGTGAGGATGAATATATAATCTAAAATGAGTGAATACTCAGAAAAGTCTACAGTGGTATCCACATATGCAACAAATGATTAGACTAGATCCCCAAGAACTTCTAATAGAAATTGGTGGCAAAAGACTGTAAAATAAGTGAATTCAAAACTCTTGAAGACATAATGAAGAAATTTAAAACATAAGACAAGAAGAAGACACTATCTAAAAAGGTCAGGTAGAGGACCAGCTGTTAGTGTAATGGCTTTGTGACTGGACTCCTATGTAGTCAGTCGACTGTGGTTCAAGTCCTGGACCTGGTGGCTTAAACTCACGCCGGGCGTGTGTGCATGCATGCCCAAGATCCCGAGAGGAGAATGGAGGAGCCATCCCCCTGGGGGGTGATTTCTCTCTTTCTGTCTCTCTGTCTCTCTCTTTCTGGTGAGCGCATGTGCCCTATAGCAAAAACTTCTCCCCTCCCCAAAAATAAATATAAATAAACAAAAAGGTCAGGTAGACTTGAAAACCAAATAAACTAGAAGTGAAAGCTTTTTCATTGAAATAAAATATTCACTGGATAGATTAAACATCAGATTGGGCATCATCAAAGACAGAATTAATGAATGGGACGATAGACTGGAGAAAATCATCCACAGTGCAGCACAAAGTCAAGATTCAGAGGCTAAGCTGTGGATGCTGGCATGAAAAGATTCTATATCCACCTAATAAGATTCTAGAAGGAGAGGGATTACTTGAAGAGATGATGGCTTAAAAATTTCCAAACTTGATAAGAGATACGAAGCTTCAGATTCAAGAAACAGAATTGACATGGGATATCCTGTGTAGTCTCAACAACCCTAGGAGGTGGGTGCTGTCATTATTCTTTTTCTATTGAAGAAACAGTCACAGAGAGGCTAAAGCCACATCTGTAGATAAAGGCATCGTTAGTTAGGTAACACAGCTTTAGCTCTTACTTACACCATTCTCTCCAGAGAGTGCAAAGCAGTGGTAAGAATGTCGGACCTTCTTTTCAAAGAGAGTTGAGACCAGACTGCTGTGGCTCTTAGCTCAGGCCACTGCTTGGTGAGGCAGGACTGTGCTGAGAGTGCAGGAGAGCACTTGTGGCCCCTGCCACCATCAGGCAGATATTTCACAGCCTCGCAAAGTGTGATGAGCTGTGGACATGGAGGTTAAACACCAGATTGGTGCCAAGTGTATTTCATCAGGTTGCAGCAGCCAGTTCTAGGGCAGCTGATGGAGTTTGTGTGTGACCAATGAAAGTGGATCCCTGTCAGCTGTCTAAACCCGACACCTCTTTGGCTGGTGTGCCACCCAACACACGCTAGAAGGACAGCTGAAGACACAGTCCTAAGGAACCCTCAGAAAAGAGGAACAGAACCCAAATCAAGGGTGGCCACCCATAGCTCCAGTTTTCTAGAGCTCCAGGTGTGGCACTGTAAGTGTGAAGGACAAAGATCTAGCCTCCTGAGAAGTGCTGATACTGGGATTAGAGTTTGAAAACTGAAAAAATGACTGACGGCATAGGATGCACGTGGGAGTTCTCTAGCAGAAAATAGATAAATTTATTTTCATCAAAACGAGGTGGGACCAGCAGGTGGCATGATTGTTAAGGCAGCTGGGTCCCACATGGCTAACAGTGTGGTTCAAGTTCCTAAGACAGGGGCTTGAAAATCACTCCAGGTGCACGTACATGCCCAAAATCCCAGAAAGAGAATAGAGGAGAAGGGATTGCAGCATGGCCATCCCCCCAGGAGGTGCTTTCTCCCTTTCCCTCTCTTTGTCTCTCTCCAGCAAGCACATGTACCCTATAGCAAAACTAAAAACCAAAACAAAACAGAGGGAAACACAACGTTAAAATACTCTTTTCAAACAAGGACAGTGGAATGTTGATCATTGTTGGAGCACAGTAACAGATACATGGATGCTCATTGCACTTTTCCCTTTGTTTTTTTAAAAACATTCCAGGAGGGAGAAATGGAGAGGAAGGGATTATAGCATGTTCATTCCCCACAGGGATGCTTTCTCGCTTTTCCTTTCTTTTCTCTGATGAGTGCACAGACCCTCTGGTAAATTAATAATAATAATAATAATACTTTTTTAAAAAATGCTCCTAGTCATTGCATTAATTAGATTGTTTTTATGTAAGCAAAAAAGTAACAATAACTCTGGTGAGCTTAAGCAAAACAGAGTTAAAGGGTCCTGGGAGCAGCCCACACCCAACAACCATGACTTGAAGAAGTTCATGTACCTTCTCTTATGCAGGTCTTTCTCTCTCTCTCCCCCCCTCTCTCTCTTTCTTCCAGAAGTCACATGTGCTTGTCAGAGAGAGAGAGAGAGAGAGTGAAAGCACGCCTCTAGCTGCAGTTACACTGCAGTCTTCACTCCTCCGTTTCTCATCCTTCAAGATTTGGACACACACGCACACATGCCTGGCATATTTTCAAGCTGGTGGGACCAAGACTCAAACCACTGTCAGCCATATCCAGCCCTGTATGTGCAGGGGCTGTATGTCCAGTGGGCTGTGAGGCCCAGACCCCTGGTTCTAGTCTCTTGATTGCTGATTTCAGGTTCCTGTGTGGAGAGAATTCGATTGGCCCAGTCAGATCTGGTGTTGAAGGGGAAGGAGTTCTACAAGGGGACTTAAAAATGTTTATGGAGGGACCAGCAATTAGCGTAATGGCTATGTTGCTGGACTCCCATGTAGTCGACTTTGGTTCGAGTTCCTGGACCCAGTGGCTTAAACTCATGCCAGGCGTGTGTGCGTGCATGCCCAAGATCCCGAGAGGAGAATGGAGGAGAAGGGATTGCGGTGTGGCCATCCCCCCTGGGGGGTGATTTCTCGCTCTCTGTCTCTCTGTCTCTCTCTGTCTTTCTGGCGAGCGCATGCGCCCTATAGCAAAAACCTCTCCAAAAGAAAAAAAGAAAATGTTTATGGAAAATAGAATTAAAATATAAGTTTATTATTTTTAAATCGATGCATAGTTTTCTTTTTTTTTTTTTGGAGAGGTTTTCTCTATAGGGCGCGTGCACTCGCCAGAAAGACAAAGAGAGACATAGAAACAGAAAGCGAGAAATCACCCCCCAGGGGGGATGGTCACACCACAATCCATTCTCCTCCATTCTCCTCTCGGGATTTTGGGCACACACGCACACGCACCTGGCGTGAGTTCTCAGCCACTGGGTCCGGGACACAAACCGTGGTCGACTACGTGGGAGGCCAGGGACATAGCCATTACGCTAACTGCTGGTTCCCTGCATAGTTTTCTTTATTATGTATATTTTCCATGAACTTATGAAAGACCCCTGTAACTAATCTGGTCACAGAGAGCTCCACTATGTATTAACCAACCCACCCCAGTAGAATCCTTTTGTGCTGGGCAGCAACCCCATAGCTATAATACTGGTTTATTCTATGCTGTTACCTGCACCATAGCTCCACAACAACTGTTTGAAGGTCAAAGAACTCCTTTGAAGGCCTGAGGACAGTTCAATTTAGAAGAGTCCATCTGGCTCTAATTGGAGCCTCAGTCTGGCCAGATCCAACCCATCCAGCTTTATGTGAAAGGTTCGGTCATGATTATTAAACACAGTAGAGGAAAGAAGGCAGGAATGTAGGCCTCTCTGGTCTGAGCACCTGAATGCCTATCAAAGATATCCTATTTGCTGGGCATTTTTGTCCTATGGGTTGTGAGTCTAGAGTTTTACTTGGGATCTTCAGATGAATGTAACCCTAACTCTCCTTCAAAGGCAATGTGTACCAAAAACCCCTGTGTCTCAACCCCAGAAAGGAAAAAAATGGACAAGGGAAGGCCACCCTATGGAAAGACATTGCCTAGGTTCTCAAACATCAGCCGCTGCTCCTGTGTTAACTTTCCTTTTGCTGTCCAGTACCAGGCAGGGAGCTCTTTTTCTTCCTTTTAATTAAGGAAAACAGAATTTTAGCAGAGAAGGCGAGAGATTAGGAAAGAGAAGAAACTGCTTAATTCACTGGTAAATATCGAGCCAGGGTCCAGGCCAAGAGGAGAGAATTGAGTAGTTGGAGAAAAAGCCACATCTGCAGAAGCGAGGTGGGCAAGGGCTAGCTGGAGCTTAGAAATTGAAGGGGCACTGAGCCTGTGCAGCTCACAGAAGACAAGTCTTTCAATCTATATATAGTTGCTATATCTGCTGCCCTGGACAAGGCAGGGAGGGAAAGGAAGCAGCTGGCTCTAGTTGAGTCATGGCAGGTAGTGTTTGATGTGAAAGTTGGATGTATGACCTTTTCTGCTTCTGCAGGACCCCATATGACAGTGTGCAGTTCAGACAGAGCATGGTAGTCCCTGGAAAGGGAGAATTAATGGAAGCTGACCTCCGGCCGCACTCCACTTGCTAAGCTCTGATCCTGCAAAGGTGCAGAGATTCTGTGTAGGCCCTGGACCCACAGACAGCCCCTTAGGCCAGCTTAGATCTTGTACCTGGTGAGCCTCCATCTGCAAGAATATCAATCTATGCTCACCACACTTGGCATAAGATTCTGAAATCACTGTGGTCCTCAGACTTGAATGACACACTTCTCTTGGCAACAAGATAGAATTTAAAAAATGTATCAGAGACTCTCCTTCTCTTTCTTTAATATTAAAGAAATCAGGGGGGACCAGCAGGTGGCCTGGTGGTTAAGGTGCTGGACACTCCCATATGGTTGACCATGGTTTGATGCCTGGACCTGGTAGCTTGCTTTTTCACTTTCCCTGTGTGTGTGTGTGTGTGTGTGTGTGTATCTGGTCAAATTAAAAATAAATGAATGAAAAAAAATAGAAATCAGTAAGGTGAAATCTATGAATGCCATTGACAGGCAGTGTCCATGGCAGTGGTTGAGGGGCATTTGTCCCCCGCCAGTGAGACTGTAGGTGGGGAGGAATATGTTCTTACTGATGACAGAAGATGGATTCGTATGGCAGCTGTTCTGTGCCGGGCACTCAGGAGAGTAGTGGCATGGTACTACATGCTACCCAGTGTGAGAGGAGTGAGGCCTCTGAGAGGAGTGGAGACAGAATTGGGGCAGGGTGCTCGGGAAGAATGATGATGCTGCTGCCCTCCCCACTCCCTCCACGAGGGAGCAAGAGTTGGGTCATCACTCCCTCCACAGAGAGGACAGTGGCCTCGGGCTCCTCACCTGCCCCATAAATGGCATCAGGGAGGCCAGAGTTACCATAAAATCTTTACCCTGACACCCTTGAACCGCCCGAGCTGGGCAGTTGGAGCCTTGCCTGTGGGCTGTGTCTGCACACATTGCTCCAGTGGCCTTGATGCCATGTTCACAGTAAGGACATAGTACCTACATCTCCCCTTTCTGACTGAGCAGATGCAGGACCTGGAGCAGAGGCTGCTGGAGGCAGAGCAGAGAGCAGAGGATGCAGAGACCCAGGTAACCAGGGTACGGGGCTGGCGGAGTATGCTGGGCAAGCCTTTCCCTGCCCTTCCCATAGACACATGTGGACACACTTGCCACACGGATGAGCTCCTTGCCAGGACAAGGAAACCGAGCAGTTGCATGTTAAACCTGAACAGATTAAGGAGCATGGAGCTTTCTGTGGGAATGAAGATGCCTTTGCGTAAGGGTCAGTGCAGTGAGTGGGATTCTTAGTCCAAACAGGCTAGACTGCGCTCTGGTGACACATCAAGTCCAAAATCCCAGTAATGTGTCATATTCACTTCTCACTTGGGGCCCCTATTCATTGATAGCCAGCAAATCTGCTTCCACAATTGTTCAGAGATCCAGGCTAATGGAGGCTCCCCTGTCTTATGGAGCACATGGCCTGCTTTGGTGCCATGGTTTTTTTCATGCACCAGCTTTTAAATACTTCATTCCAGAAACCATGTGCCATTTCCACTCAGGTCCCAATGATTGGATGAAAGACATGGCCCATCTAATTATAAGAAGGCAGTGGAGTGTGGGGAAGCACCAGATATCCAGCAAGCAGTAAATATCTCTGCCACAGTGGGCTTGAGCAGTTGCCCTCCAGGGCTGCTTGTCCTGTCCAGCTCACCCCCATCCCCCAGAGGTAGATGGCCCAACACCTAATCGCTTTTTTCTGCATAGCCAATATGAGGTTCTTCCTTGTCAGTTCCTTCCTCTGCCCAAATAAGTGCTTAGTAAATGGTCGTTTAATTGTCACAGGTCACCCTGGTTAGGGCTCTACCTGGGGGTTACAGGCTGAGGCAGCAGGAGGCATCCCACCCCATGTCACTGGCCATTGCACACAGTGCATGAGAGATGTGAGACCCTGTGAGACGATTGGTACTTTTCAGGTGGGTGTGATGGAAGAGAAGGTAAAACTGTCCAATCTGAAGAACGTGGAACCAGCAGGCAGCCTGCACAGGAAATACCAAGAATTGCTGAAAGCCATGCAGGGCAAAGATGAGCTCATCAGCCAGTTGGAGGCACAGCTGGAGAAGCAGGTAAGGGCAACAAGCAGCAGCCCCCTACCCCTCTTTTTCTTTCTTTCTTTCTTTCTTTCTTTCTTTCTTTCTTTCTTTCTTTCTTTCTTTCTTTCTTTCTTTTTTTTTTGTTGAAGAGGTTTCTGCTATAGGGCACATGTGCTCACCAGAAAGAGAGAGACAGAGAGATAGAAAGCAAGAAATCACCCCCCAGGGGTGATGGCCATGCCACAATCCCTTCTCCTCTTGGGATCTTGGGAACGCATGCACACGTGCCCGGTGTGAGTTTAAGCTACTGGATTCTGGACTCAAACTGTGGTTCACTACATGGGAGTTCAGTGACAGCCATTATGCTAACTGCTGGTCCCCAACCCATTCCCCTCTTCAGCATCCGCACCAACTGGCCCCTAGCTTTTTTATTTTTTTAAGGAGTTATTTTTTATTTAACTTTATTTATTTGTTTATTTTAATTTTACCAGAGAGGGATAGAATGAGAGAGAGAGAGGGAGAAAGCAAGCCACCAGGTCTGGGACTCAAACTGCTGTTGGCCATGTGGGAGTCTAGCATCCTTAACCACCATGCCACCTGACAGCCCCAGCTTCTCAATCTCTGAGTCTCGAGTGATTGCGGTGCTCACTCTCTGTTGAGCCTGTTCTTTTCTATGGAGATTTAATTATTGGAAGTCTTTCCTTCTCACATCTATTCATGAGAAGGCCAGCAGGAGCTATAGTAGTAAAAGGACCTTGGAGGCAGATGAATCTAGGCTCAAATCCCACCTGTAGTACCAGCTGCTCTCTGACTGTGGACAGATTGCTTAAGTTGCTGGTTCTCATTTTACACCTTTATAACACAGGGGTTATATGGTACCTCCTAGGGCTGTTGGGACCATCAGCTCAGATAACCTGTGCATGGCATCAGACACGTGATGGTGCTTGCTAAGGAGAGCTCTTCCTTCTCCATCCTGATCCCATAATGCCCTGCCAGCATGTCGCACATGATATTCGTGGTAAGACCCAGAGCAGCACAAAGCTGGGCTGTCCACCTGGGTCAGTTAGCTGCCCAAAGTTTCTCAATGAACCTAAATAGGCAGAGACCAAAGTTGCTGCCTCCTCTGAAAACTGGGACATCCCCTCCTAAGCACATGGGAGCCCAGGACAGTCCACTGCCTGGCATGACAGCTGTAGTTAACACCTTTGCCAGGATTTCTGGGACATCCCCCTGCCAGTTACTCTGCCTGGTCACCTTCCCACTTAGTCTTACTAACATCATCCCAGTTCTGCCCCTTCCCTCGACCTTTGGCTTGCCTATCCAGCTTTTCTCTGGTGTCAGAGATCCATCATTTCCAGAAAAGACTCCATAGTCAAGTCAAACATGCAACACAAATGACATGCATAGAGAGAGCTAATGTGAAATGAACAACCCAGTGAATACCTGCAAATGATATGAATAGGAAATCAAAAGAAATAAAGACAAACCCTTGAAAAGCTATTCAACCTCAACCATAATTATAAGAATGCAGATTAAAAAAAAGACATCACTGGGGCTGGCAGGGGGCATGTAGTTGGGATGCTGGACTCCCACATGGAGACCACAGTTTGAGTCCTGGACCTAGTGGCTTGCTTTCTCACTTTCCTTCTCTCTCTTTCTCCTTCTGGTCAAATAAATAAATAAGTAAAAATAGATACTGTATTATTTTTTTAAAAGATCATTTTTCTCTATCAGATGAATACAATTTAAAGTTAATTAATACAAGTTTAAGTTTGATGTTACCTCAAATTGTCAAGAATGTTGGGAGCAAACTATTTTATATAAATTAGCAAAGATTTTGGGGGGTATAATTTGATAACATCTGTCAACATTTTAAATATCCATGTTATCGATCAAATAAAGCCACCGCTCAGAAATCATTTGTTGTAATATTATTTGAGAGAACAACATAAAATAAAAATCTCAAAACTGGAAATAGTCTCAGTGTCCACCAGTAAGGGATTGGTTAAATAAATACAGCACACCCACAAGATGAAAGTAGAATGCTATGCTTCTGAACATGGAGACATTCTCAGGGGAGAATGGTTGAATGACAAATAGAAATGAAGGATTGGGGACAGAGGAAAATGAATGATTTTTCATTTTCAACATGTATATTCTCCGGATAATCTTGCTCCAGCTAATCCTGAAAGTATTTTCTAATCATCATGTGTAAATTCATAATCACTTGTCAAGATTCATTGACTGTTCTCTTAGCAGGTGTGCTTTTGCCTGCTCTAGGGCACTATGTGTTCCTGGAAAATCATGGGAAATGGAATTTGGACACATGGAATTTCTAATCAAGTTCCCATTGATTTTGGAGATACCTTATCTCTCTTTTGAGTAGCTTATAGTTAGAAATGGCAGCATCCTGGGGATTAGTGGGCAAAATGGCTCCTGCTAAAGCTCTTTAGGTTAAAAAAAAAAAAGAAGAAATTTTACAGTTAAAATCAATAGGTCAAGATCAGACTAGAGAGAATGCTGTTCTGTGAGTCAAGAGACCTGGTTTTGGTCCCCGCTGTGTCATAAAATGACAGCAGCAAGTCATTTCACCTCTCTGGGCCTCAGTTTCCACAGCCTTCTAAAGAGGCTATTAAAGTAGGTTAGGGGTAGCCAGTTTTTTCTTTGAAGGGCTAGGTACTGAGTATTTTAGGCTTTGTGTGCCACACAGTCTCTGCTGCAGCTGTACAGCTTGCTGTTGTAATGTGGAAGCAGCCACATATGTCACCAGAACAAATGGACGTGGCTGTGCCCCATGAGAGTTCATTTACAAAAACGAGAAAGTGGGATTAACAGTGGGCTGGATTGGGCCTGATGGCCATAGTTTGCCAACCTTTAAGGTTTTTCAAACTCTGAAGTACTGAGTCTGACATTTTCACATTCCCATCAGTTCCACAGACTCCCTCATTTGGAGCTTGCTTGCATCATCTTAGCATTTTTCCCTAGAAGTATAACCAAAGTCATGGTTGCTGGTTAAACCACTCAGTGTAACCTATCATCTCCATGCATTTTATAATAGATCAGGCATGAGTTCTCAGTGTAGAGCTGGTGGATATCTATGCTTGGGTGCTCTATAGTACATTTTCTCTCCCTTAATCATTGCATTGGTCCCCTTATAGGCCTGGAGGGCTTAAGTTTCCTGCCCGGTGTCTCACAGCAAACAAATCTCACATGGGGGCCAAGTTGAGGTGCTGGACTCCCACATGGCCTCAGTTTGAGTCCCATACTCAGTGGTTTTAGGATCAGGCCAGGTGTATTTGTGCCAGCCCAAAATTCTGAGAGGTAAATGAGGAGAAGGGATTGCGGCATGGCCATGCCCCCTGGGGGCGATTTTTCATTTTCCCTCTGCCTCTCGATCTCTCTCCATCTCTCTACGGTGAGTGCAGGAACCCTATGGCAAAAACCTAAATAAATAAATAAGCTTTACATGTAGTTTCAAAACTATTTTTTACTCTAGTCTAGGCTGATGTTCTTTAGATACAACCTCCTTTTCTTTTTTAAGTTATTTCTCCCATGAGATAGGGGAAGAGGAGTGGAGAGAGGAGAGGGACTCATCACAGATCTTCATGCCACCATCCTCCCCCAGCCTTAGCCAGCCAGCATCATAAGCATACAAATATCTGGCGTGTTCAGGGAGGCTTTGGGCTGCAAACCAGGACCTTCCCATTTGGTCCCAGCCTCGTGGAATGTTTAATAACTGCTGTGCCATATGGCTGGCCACAAACCTCCTTTCAATCATTTTCTAATCTTGATTATTTTGAGTAAATACCTCACTTACGTGCTAATTTAACCTTAGTTTTTGTTTTTAACTATAAAGGTAATACATGCTTATAGTAAAAAGATACAAAAAAAATACCAGAAAGATATAAAATGACAAATAATGTTTTCCTATATCCTGAATCCTTCGTTTCCACTTCTCATTGTTACCCATCGTTCACTGTGAACCTTTTGTTCTGTGTTTCAAAGCATAGCGTTCTACTTTCTTTGCTTTCTTGTTTAATTGCTAGAGGGTGTATATGCTTGCCAGAGAGAGAGAGAGAGAAAAGGAAAAGGAGAGAGAATGCAATCTCCTCATGGTGTGTGGTCATGCTGCAATCTCTTCTCCATTTCACCATCCTGTCAGGGTTTTGGACACACACTTGCATGTGCCCAGCATGTTTTTCAAACTGTCAGGGCAGAGATTCAAACCATGGTCAGCCATGGTTCTCCCATGGTTCTCCTGTGGGACCAGTTCCTTAACCAGTAGGCAATGGGCCAGCCCTGTCCTATTTTCACTGTAGACGGCCCGTGTTTATTTAACCAACTCCTTATTGGTAGACACTTAGACTATTTTCCGTTTTGATTTGTGTGTGTGTGTGTGTATGTTGCTTTCTAAAATAATATTGCAACAAATGATTGCTATGCAGTGGCTTTATCATGTCAATGTACATATATTTAAAGTTAACATGTATTACCAAATTGCTCCCAAAAAGGTTTTGCCAATTTGTAAGAGGGGCCAGCAGGTGGCGGAGTGGTTAAGGTGCTGGGCTCCCACATCACTGACTACAGTTCAAGTCCCAGACCTGGTGCTTAAAATTCATGCTGGGCATGCACATGCATGCCCAAAGTCCCAAGAGAAGAACGCAGAAAAAGGGACTATGGTGTGGCCATCCCCCTGGGGGGTGATTTCTCATTCTTTCTCTCTCTGTCTCTAATGAATGTAACTTAGAGCAAAAATCTCTCTTAAAAAAAAAAAAAGAGGGGTTGCACCCAACATTTTTGGCAGTGTGGGGTAACATTAAACTTTTAAATGATGTTAATATGATAGAGGAAAATTATGCCTTGTTTTTGTCTGTAGTCTTTAAATTATAGTTGGGGTCAAATAGCTTTACAAGAATTTTTTGCCTTTATTTTTATGTTGATTTCCTGTTCCTATCCTTTGCATGTATTTATTGGATTGTTCATTTTAAATTAGGCCTTTGTACATATATTCATTTATTTTGCAAATCCCTTCCCAGTTGGTCTTTCAGTTTTGTTTATGGAATTTTTTTTTTTTTTACTTTGGTCATTCAGTTATTTATAGTAATGACATAGATTCATTAGTCTTTCCTTTGTGGCTTTTTGGGATTTGTATTATTCCTGGGAAGACCTTTTCTACTTTAAGAATATTTTTAAAGATCATACTTGAATTTATTTTTTTCTGTCAGGTCACCCCCAGTCAGGCACTTAATATTTCTTCTCAGGGGTTCTCACCTCTAATTATTCATACTACTGGTGACCATTGTGGTTAACTAAAGGCCTTATCTTTCTTGCAGAAGCAGATGAGAGCTGAAGAAGCAAAAATTGTTCAAGAAAAAGCTGCAAAGATCAAAGAATGGGTGACATTAAAGTTAGCAGAGGTAAGCTGAAAACTCATCTTGTGGGGATAGGCCTGGAGCTGTGGCCGAGGTGGTCTTTAGCCCCGTGCTCAGCTCCCTTCTTCTGCAGGTGGTGCCTTGACCAACCCTCACTGTGTTAAACATTTGTCCTTCATTCAGCTGAAACACTTCCCTGTCCCTGTCCTTTGGTCGGGGTCTGTTTCTCTAGAGCTCCTGACTAGCTTCACACTGTATTTAAGGAGAAGGAATGAGTCTCATTTCTGAAAAGGCCCGTTAGTTTCCTTCTGGGGAGTACACATAGACCACCATCCATTCTCTGCTTTCTCCTCTGTCCTCTCTATTTTTTTAAACTTTTTAAAAATTGTGGTAAACTCTACTTGAAAGATTCCATTTTACAGTATACAATTCAGTGGCATTAAGCATGTTCACGGTGTTGTATAATCATCACCACTACCTTTTTCTTTTCTAGAGATTCTTACTATAGGGCACATGTAGTTGCCGGAGAGCCAGAGAGACAGAAAGCGAGAGCTCGCCCCCTGAGGGGATGGCCACACCACAATCCCTTCTCCTCTTGAGATTTGGGACATACATGCACATGCGCCCAGCATGAGTTTCATGCCACTAAGTCTGGGACTCAAGCCCATGGTCAGCCATGTGGGAGTCCAGCGACATAATCCTTACGCCACCTTCTGGTCCCACCACTATCTCTTTCTAAAACTTCTCACTCCAAACAAAAAATCTGTACCCTTTAAACATTAACTCCCCATCCTGTGTTCCACTTCCTCTATATATATTAGTTTATTTTTGTAGTTTATCACTTGCAATGGCTTTATTTAGGACAGGATGGAAGCTATAGTGCCACTAGCAAAAACAAAACAAAAGGCCACCTGTTTTTGGGCCAGCGGATGGTATGGAGGTTAAGGTGCTGGATTTCACGTGACTGTGCATATCAAGTCCTGGACAAAGCGGCTTGAAAAATATACCAGGCGGGGCCAGCAGTTTGGGTAATGGCTATTGTAATAAAATAAAAAACCAAAGTTCTATGGGTATTTAAGTCAAACTGAGAGATTAGAATAATATGTAATATTTGATGTAACTATACACATATAAGCGTATTCCATTTTACGGTTCTGAATTATAAACAGCTGATTAAGGTGCTCAGTAATATATATATGTCTGTGAGTAGACATAAATAAATATTAAACATACATAAAAATATACCCAGTTTTATATCACATCAAAATATGGTAGTTAAGGGATCAGCAGTTAGCATAATGTCTATGTCGCTGAACTCCCATGCAGCCAAATGTGGTTGGAGTTCCGGACCCTGTGGCTTAAGCTTACGCGGGACCTATGTATGTGCCTGGGTCCCCAAGATCCCAAGAGGAGAATGGAGGATAAGGGATTGCGGCATGGCCATCCCACCTGGGGGGGTGATTTCTCGCTTGCTGTCTCTCTATCTCTCTCAGTCTTTCTGGTGAGTGCACGTGCCCTATAGCAAAAACCTCTCCAAAAAAAGAAAGAAAAGAAAAGCACACCAGGCACATGTGTGTGCATGCCCAAAATCTCAAGAAGAAAATGGAAGAGAAGAGAGTTAGGCTATCCCCAGGGAGTACTTTCTCACTTTCCTTTTCTCCTTTTCTTTCTCTCTGTCTTTATCTCTAGAGAGTACATGTACTCTATAGCAAAAAAGAAAGAAAGAAAGAAAGAAAGAAAGAAAGAAAGAAAGAAAGACAACCTATTTCTTTTTTAAAAAAAGAAAAAAAGGAAAGAGATTTGCAGTTTTGAAAGCATGTGTCTCTTCTTCCTCTGTCCTGCTGAGACAAGTGGTGTACACCCACAGGAGGGTGTTGGCTCAGTTTGCTTCTCAGGTCACCTCCTACACTGCAAGTTCTTAGGGATAGAATTGATGCTTGTTATTTCTGTATTCCCACAGCCCTGATTCTTGCTTAAAAAAAAAAAAAAGCTTAATAAAAGGGTAATAACTTCTTTTTAAAAAAATACTTAATCTTATTTATCATTATTGTTACTTTTTAAAATTTGCTAGAGGGCACATGCTTTTGAGAGAGAGAGAGCAAGAGAGGGAAAGTGAGAAAGCAAGTCATCAGTTCCAGAACTTGAACTGTGTTCAGCCATGAGAGAGTCCAACTCCTTCACAACCATGCCACCTGCTGGTCCCTACAGGGTAATCATTTCATTTAAATGTAAATTAAAGGAGGATGGAGCTCATGGGCCAGCCAGCCACTGAGATGTACATACTATATAATTCTATTTATCAAACATTTAAAAATGGGCACAATGAAACCAATGAGTGGGATGCATACTTAGATGGCAGAACCCACAAAGCAAGGACATGAATAAACATACAGTAGTGGTTACTTTAGCAATGAGAGAGGGACATGTGTTTGTGAGGGACAAATGAGGGAGCTGTGTGGACCTGGGTGGTGGTCTCATGAGGATAAACTTCACAATCATTTGTTAAACTGTTCATGGTGCTGTTTTCTGTGTTTCTTAGTCTGTTTTGTGCTGTTATAACAGAATACCACGGATGGAAGTCCAAAAGTGTGACACTGGCATCTAGCAAAGGCTCTCTTGTTGTGTCATCTGTGGTGGAAGGCAAGACACGGGCGCTAGCGCAGTGCAGAACTCACAGCCTATTGTTTTTAATTTTTTTGAGAGATTTTTGCTAAAAGAGACCAAGCATTCACAAGAGAGACAAGGAGACAGAAAATGAGAAGTCACCCCGCCGCCCCCAGCAGGGGTGGCCACACCGCAATCCCTTCTCCTCCATTCTCCTCTCAAGATCTTAGGCACGCACACACACGCGTCCAGTGTGAGTTTCAAGCCTTCGTGTCTGGGACTCTAACCTCATTCAACCATGTGGGAGTCCAGTGCCTTAACCACTACACTTACCCTGCTGGCCCCCAGCCATAGCCCTTTTATAACTGACTGTAATCCATTTGTGAAGGAAGCTCTGTTGTGGCCTAAACACTTCCCATGAGGCCCTGCTTCCTAGCATTGCTGTACTTTGTAGACTAAGTTCCCAGCATATGCTTTTTGGGGGACACATTTAAACTACAGCACTGTGCATGTGGTATGTTTCACAATTTTTTAAAAGGTTAAAAATAACTATAAAAAGAGAGTACAAGGGCTGCCAAATGGAATTTTATCCCAACCAGAACCAGTCAGCACAAAGAGAGGGAGCGGTCAGGGCTCCTTGGAAGGGTCAGCAATGAATGTGTGAGGCACCTCTATTAGATTATCAGGAAATTCATGACGTGTTTTTCTATGCAAAAATCTGTCACAATTTTCCTGACAACCTAATATAATCTTATTTTGAATTATATGCCTAACCCTGTAGGCTGGGTATTCTGAGTCTTTTTTTTTGTTCAGCTTGAGATGGAAAATCAGCACCTGAAAAGCTGTAAGCAGCGCCTAGAGGAGCAGGTGGGAACTCTTCAAGATGCACTAGAAGGTAGGCAGACCCGGTGTGCCTGTGCGTGTGGTGGAGTGTGGGACTGAATTGAGGGAGCTCTCAATATGCCTATTTTTGCCTCAACCACAGCTCTTCAGATGGCACCTTCAGGAAAGCTGCTGGTGGCTCCCCACAGAGTTCCAGAGCAGGATTCTATCCCTTCAGGGCCAGGTGCCCAGCCTGTGGGACAGGGCAGTGGCCCCCAGGCCCAAGATTTGAAGGTGGCTATTCCTGCACCTTCTCTAGGTGCCCTGCAGAGCAAGGACTCTGTTTCTGAAGCAAGAAGCCCGAGGGAGGATTTCAGTTCCAGTGTGGCCTACTCCAGGGAAGTAGCAGAGACCAAGTCCCTTCAGCCTCATCCAAGAAGAGAGGGCTCTCCCAGTCATCTGTGTGTGTATGTTCCTCATGCTCCCAGACGTGGTTCAGCTTCCTGGGGTGAAGGCCTGGCCACTGTTCATGGAGGGATGCTCTCTGGGACCAAGGCCTCTGCCAGAGAAGGTGGCCCCGGAAGTAGCCTGACCTTGCCGAAGGTGCGGGCTCCTGGCATCCCCTGGAATAGCATCCAGGGGGCCAAAAGGCACCACAGCCAGCCCCAGGTGGGCCCTGGGCACTTTGACCATATGGTGAGCTTTGAGATTGGGGCCCTCTCAGCCCTTCACCCCTCTGGCCTTCCTAAGCTGAGGGCCCAAGCTGAGCTCCCAGAAGAACCAGAGAAAATGGAGATGGAAGAGCCACCCACAGCAGGGAAGAAGGAGGAAAGAGAGAGCCTGAAGCCCCCTGGAGCAGATTTGGAGGAGCTGGAGCTGGGGACCAAACCACCCACGCCCCCCCTGCACCGGTTTCCATCGTGGGTAAGAGGCAGCCCCAGGGCTGGGCAGAGGGGCAGAGCCAGTGACAGAACTGCCATTCACTAAGCACAGGCACACCCTGAACATGAGATGAGGCTGTCGTCTTCTCACAGCTCTGGGAGGCAGGTACCACAGAACCTTCCCAGGTCCCCAAACCAGTGGGAGGCAGCGCCAGAATTTGAATTGACTTGAGGTGCTGGCTGTCATCTCCGGAGCCCTCACCAAGTGCCACACACCAGGCTGGGTGCTGTGTGCATATTTTCTCTTTTAATCCGTGACTCGTTTGGGTGGTATGTGTGGTAGTAAGAACACAGGTCTAAGAATCAAACCACTAGGGCTAAATTGCTACCTCTGTGACCCTGGGCAAATGACTAAACCTTTGTGCCTCAGTTTCCCCCTCTGTAAGCTGGGGGTCACAGTACCTACTTTCTAGAGTTATGAGGAGGAAGTGTCAGCATTAAGTGCTCACAGTACTGGTTCACAGTGAGTGCTGGGTAAGTGTTGCTGTCTATTTTTAACCTTAGATTCTCCACCTATAACCCTAGAGATGGTGACCTGATGGCTGGTGGAATTGCTTCAGAATCTGGGGTTGGGGTAGGGGTTACGGATGAAACAAGACTAGCCAGACATTAATCCTTGTAGAGCTGGGCCATTGGTACACAAGGTTATCGTTTATACTATTCTACTTTTATATTAGATACCTTCCATGATAAAAAGTTGAGATAGGGCCAGCCAGTAGCATGGTGGTTAAGGCAGCTGGATCCCACATAGCCAACTGTGCAGTTTGAGTCCTGGTCCCAGTGGCTTGAAAAACATGCTGGGCACGTGTACGTGCATGCCCAAAATCCTGAGGAGAAGACGGAGGAGAAGGGAGTGTGACATGGCCATCCCCCTCAAGTGTGCTTTCTCATTTTCCCTCATTCTTTTTCTTTCTCTTTCAAGCACATACACTGTATAGCAAAAATAAAAAACAAAACCAAAAAGGTTAAGATAAATGTGGAGTGGGGCGGGGTGGTGCGTCAGTAATATCTTCTGGGTCACTGGTGAGGATGACACGAGGATATATACCAAGGCTCTCAGCACTGAGCCTGGCGTGTGCAAAGGGTCTTTCCCTGTGCAAGGAGTTGAAGGCTGTTTTCCCCTTTTCTAGATTAGGAAGCTGCCGTCCCTGTAGACTTAGCAGCTTGCCCAGGGTCATGTGGTAGTTAATGAAGGAGCCAGGCTGCTTCCAAATCCCAGCTTGCTGCCATTCAGCAGCAATGTGCAGAGTCTCCTGAAATGCTAGTTGTGGAGGCTCCCTGCTGTAGGCTTTCCAGCCAGGCCCTTAGCAGTGACTGCTGACTGGCCGCTGAGTACCTGAGAAGCTGGAGACACAGCAGGTTCTTGGAGCAGGGCAGGAAGGTTGACTGGGGGCTCCCCAAGGCCAGTCTGTCTCAGACCGAGGGCTGCTGGCCCACCTCATGTTCATCATTTGTTGTCTTGCTCTGGAAAAGCAAGCAGAGAGTGAGGGCACATTCGAGCAAGCAGTGTGGTGAGAGTCCAGCCCATGTTTCTAGAGAGAAGTAGTGCTCACTTCTGCCATTTTACCAAAGTCCTGCCATCCGCTGCGATGGTGAAGAGTGATTCTGATGTTGTGCCTGTACAGGGTGGGGTGGCAGTGAAGACAGGAGGGCGAAGAGGCACAGAGAGATGGACGGGAGAGGGTAAATACATAAGGCACATCTGATATGCGGCACACATGAACATCAGCTACACCCTAGGGGAGCATTGGGCCTTTCCAAAGAGCCTTCCTGCCCTCAGCTGGGCCCCGTGGACCCAAAACCCAGCCAAAGCAGTTGAAGGAGAATTTGCCTCCTGTTCACAGTCCTCTTTGAAAACAGGACACAGTGCCAGCTGCATGCCAGATCCTGAGGCAGGGTTGCTCCTGTCTGGAGTGAGCTTAGGAAACCACGGGGGCCAGAGAGCCCAGCCTCTGCCTCTCAGGCAGGACCAACTGGGCAGGAGCCATCTGGGGAAAACAAAGACAGGGTTCAGAGGACTCAGTCTGTGGGGGTCAGATGTACTTATTTGCCATTAGAGTGTGTAGAGCCCTTTTTCTGTTAATCCTTGAAACAACCTTATGAGTTCGGCATTAGATAACCTTTTGTCAAACAGTCCTGTGTTTTGTTTAAGCTAAATTCCTCAAGTTTCAGGGTGTTTTTTTTTTTTTTTTCCCCTGCCTTTCTGAAGTTAGAGGCTTGTCCTTGGGTGAAGTCCATGACCACCACAGACAGAAATAATCATTTTTATGCCCAAGTTTACTGTTTGGGTCCAGTGTACCTGCTCTCCATAAGCTCAGGAGGGCCAGCCAGGTGACATGGTGATTAAAGGAGCTGGATCCTACGTTGGGACCAGGAGTTGGCATGATGGCTATGTCCCTGGACTCCTATGTAGTCAACCATGGTTCGAGTCCTGGACCCGGTGGCTTAAACACACACCGGGCGCTATGTGCGTCCCCAAGATCCCAAGAGGAGAATGGAAGAGAAGGAATTGCAGCGTGGCCATCCTCCCTGGGATGTGATTTCTTACTTTCTGTCTCTGTCTTTCTGGCGAGCATATGCGCCCTATAGCAAAAACCTCTCCAAACAAAAAAAAAAAAGAAAAGAAAAAGGGAAAAAAAGGGCAGTTGGATCCTATGTGACTGACTATAGTTCGAGTCCTAGACCAGTGACTTGAAAAAAACATGCCGTGCGCGTGTGCATGCATGCCCAAAATTCCAAGAAAAGAATGGAGGGGAAAGGGCTGTAGTGTGGTCATCCCCCTCGGGGGCTAATTTTTCACTTTTCCTCTGTCTCTCCCTGGTGATCTCATGTGCCCTATAGCAGATTAAACAATGACAACAACACAAGAATTCCTCATGGTCCGTCCTTCCAGTTGTCTCAGTCTCTTCCCAGTACTCGCCCACTCCTCCCCTCACCCTCAGGTGCCCTGTGCTGCTGCTCCCCGCAGAGTACTACCCCAGTGTGCACCCCACGACCTGTCCAGCCCCACCCCCAGCCCAACTGGCCTTGCTGGTGACAGGACACCCAGCTGCCTCCCTGAGCCTGGCAGTCCTCCGAATCCTGACCAACCTCCCCGGGCCAGTCTTTCTGGCTCACCCACCACGTGAGTGAGCCTTTGTTTTCCCTTTAGTGTGAAAAGAGAAAACAGATAGGGAAATCTTGGCAGGACCTTGTGGGTTTGGGATTAATCAAAGCTGTTAGAAAAAGTTCCCTAGACCTTGGACTTGCTCCACCTCAGACCCAGGGGCACCTTAGGATGGACATTCTCCCATAGAAGAGTCTTCTACCTTAGAGTTCTAGAGACCTGTTGGCCCTGAAGTCTAGTCAGGATATAACAGATATTGCTTTGGGTCCTAGGGTCAAAATAACTGGCTTACAAAAGAGCATGCTCTTGTCTCTGATCGTGTGGCTCTGATGTCCTCACTGTCAACACCCCCCACTTCCAGGGCCAAAATCCTGAGACCCCAGGGTCTCTAAAATGAGTAAGCTTAAGAGAAACAGGATGCTGACCTGGTCTCCTCCTGAACTCTCCTTGTCCCAGGGGGAAGGATGGAGAGGGAGAATGGATACTATATACCCATTTTCTTAAAAAACTAATTATTTTATTTTCATTTATTCATGCATTTTTTTTAATTTTACCAGAGAGAGACAGAGAGAGAGAGGGCAAGTGAGAAAGCAGGCCTCTAGGTCCAGGACTCAACCATGGTTAGCCATGTGGGAGTGTCCAATGCCTTAATCACCATACCTCCTGCTGGCCTCCCCTGTGTAGCCATTTGATTTGTTTACATCAATCATTTCCTTTGCTTTTCACAGCAGCCTGAAAGGTAAGTCTTGTTACCTCCATTTTAGAGCTGAGGAAAATAAGGCTCAGAAATGAAATATTAGGTTGTCAGGAAAGTCATGATGTATTTTTCTATGCAAAGATATGTCATGACTTTTCCGATGACCCAACAACTTGCCCAAGATTCCTCAGCTAGGAACTCTTGCCCAAGATTCCTCAGCTAGGACCTCTTTCCCCGAACTCCCAGATGGGTATTGTCCTGGGCTTGCCTGCCTTCAAAGCCAGGAGGTAAGGGGCACAATCCTGGGCCCTGCCCTCCTGGGGCCTGTCATTCCAGGAGAGCCGGATCTATGCCGTGGCCATAGCGGGTATGCAGCTGTCAGACGTGGCTCCTGGAAGTGATGCTGCTGGCTGCCGTGAGTCCCCAGCAAACCTCAAAGGGACAAATGCCCATGGTGCGCAGGGTGGGCAAGCGGGAGAGAAGACCCCGAGCAACACCCAGGGCCTCGTTCCTGTCCCCAGGTGAAGTTCAGGAGAAATCATACAGCAAGGGCTCCCTAGAAGGTGCAGGTTCAGCTCATCACCGGGCGGGTCGGAGGGGAGGTGACAGGGTTGTAGCCCATCACAGAATTGGAAGAGACCTTCAGCCCAGCCTCACCAACTCTCCTTCTGCAGTGCCAGGGCCCGGGTGGGAGGAGCCCCATCCACTGACTTCTGAGTCATCAGACAGCCAGAGTCCCCTCCCATGGTCACCTGATTTGTAACTCACCTCAGCAAGACTAGGACCCAGTTTCAGCTTTAGAGAAGATAAAATGGTGAAAGCGGAAGACTTTGGGATTTCCTTGTGGTGGATTCTCTACCATATGGGGATCATGATTCTCAAAGCCTGGGGAAATTGAGAGAAGGAAGAGAAGATGAGGAAGGCTTTGGGTCCCATCCTGAGATCTGGCACCTGGTCTGCTAGTCTGTTCCTCGAGGGCATGCTGTGTCCACAGTTCTATCCCTGCCCCCATTTGACCAGTTTTCTGCCTTCCCCATGCTCCCCCTTGGCTGGGTTATGCCACCTGTGTTGTGTTTTTGGTTTGTTTTGGTTTTTTAGTGTTTTTTTTTTTTTTTTTAGTTTTTTTTAGTTTTTGCAATAGGGTGCATACACTTGCCAGAGTAAGACAGAGAGAGAGAGAGAGAGAGAAAGTAAGAAATCGCCCCCCCAGAGGGGACAGTCACACTGCAATCCCTTCTCCTCCTGTCTTCTCTAGGGATTTTTGGCCATATACACACATGCTGCACCCTGTGTGATTTTTCAAGCCACCGAGTCTCGAACTCAAACCATACAGCAGACCATGTAGGGATCCAGCAGCCTTAACCTCCATGCTACCTGCAAGCACCCCCTAGTTCATCTTATCTCTCTTTTCCCCCCTCAGCCTCAAGCCCTCCTGTGAATGCATCCCCTGGGCCTTTCTCTGGCCTTGTCTACAAGAATGTCACTGTGCCAGTCTACACAGCACTGAAGGGGGTAAGAAACTACTATGCAAAGAGGTGGTGTGCCCATTAGAAGAGGCCCCTGGCCTCCATATGGATGACTGGGGTGAGATTGTAGGGTCAGGTGGCCCTTTTATGGAAGGTGGCCCTGGTCAAGGAGCTTATTAGCACATGCCATTTTGTTCTGTTGGGTCGTCGGAAAAGTCATGATGTATTTGTTCTATGTTTTTTCTATGTAAAAATGCATGATGACTTTTCCAACAACCTTTCTCTTGCATCTCTCCCATCTTGCTGGAATTTGGGGCATGCAAGCACACATGTCCAGAGTGTTTCTCAAGCCACCAAGGCTGGGATTCAAACTGCAGTCAGACATGTGAAATCTGACTCCCTTAATCACTGGCCATGGGACCAGCCCACAGTGTGATATTATTATACACAGTTTTGTCTCTTTGTTTTTTTCTTTTTTTAGAGAATTTGCCATAGGGTGAGTGTGTTCATCAGCTACAGAAAGCGAGAAATCACTCCCCAGGGGGGTTAGCCATGCCACAATCCCTTCTTCTCTAGTCTCTTCTCAGGATTTGGCATCTGGCATGAGTTTGAACCATGGTTGACCCTGGGGGAGTCCAGCGATATAACCATTACACCATCTGCTGGTCCCTGCTTTAGTTTTAAAATCATAATATTAATACCTGACAAAAACTTTTTATAGAAAATTAAAAAACAAAAATGAGATTTCTGCTCATATTGCTTTTCCCCAGTTTCTGCCCCTTGAAGCAACTATCATTAATGGTTTGGTGTTTAACCTGTAAGGACCTCTAACGGGTCTATAAATAAATGCATTTACAAATATGTACTTGCTCTCTCCCTCACACGCGAGCATTCACGCAAAGCGGAACATATGAGACATACTGTTCTATACCTGAAGTTCCTCATTGCATGTCAGCTCGTCCTTACCTCCCTGCTCACGCACAGCTCTACCTCTGCCTCACGTGGCCATACCACAATCCCTTGGTATAGAGGCACCAGAACCACCTTGAACTTTTCCAGTGATTACAACTTAATTTGTCCCCCATTTTTTTCTTTTCTTTTTAAACCTGCTATAGTGTGCATACACTTGCCAGAGAGACACAGAAGGAGAGAGAAAGTAAGGAAGCACTCATAGAGGGAACGGCCATACTACAATCCCTTGTCTTCTAGCCTCTTGAGATTTGGGGCACTCATGCACCCAGAGTGTTTTTTCAAGCTGCTGGGTCTGGGATTTAAAGTGCATAGTTGGCTATGTGGGATCCAGCCTCTTTCAGCACTATGCCACCAAGCAGGCCCTATTTTTTTTCTAAAATATGTGTTTCAGTGTCCATCACTGTGCAAATATATCTTTGTTCACATATACAAGGGATCTTTATAATACTTATGGAAAATGCATATTATAAAAAAACTGCATGGTCTAGCCAAGTAGCATGGTGGTTAAGGCACCTGGATCCCACATGGCCAGATTAATAATTTACGTCCCAGACCTGGCAGCTTGAGAAACACGCTGGGTGCACATGGATGTGTGCCCAGGATCCCAAAAGGAGAATGAAGGAGAAGGGATTTGTGTGTGGACATCCCCTGCCCCCGGGGTGGTGGGTGCATGATTTCTCACCTTCTCTCTCTCTCCCTTTCTGTCTCTTTCTGGCAAGTGCACATGCCAAAAACAAAAACAAAACTGTGTGGATTTTTGCATCAAAATAAACCTGTACCTTAATTCCATTTTTCCATGAACTTTGTCGATATCTTCTCTTATATACATACTTCTCTAAGTTAGAGTTCTAGAAGTGGAGTTTCTGGGCAAATTGCATGTTTAAACAGGTACTGCCAAATTTCCTTCTAAAAATGCTTTGTCCCACAGGAGTGTCCTTCCTCCCACAGTCTCCCCATACTTTCACCCACAGTGAGATAATCAGTCTTTAAATGTTTGCCAGTTGAGATTTCTAGCTGTTTGTTTCAATGCTCCCACACATTTTTGATCTCCTGGCCCACACTTGGCCTGTGTGTGGCTCTCTGGCCTACTAGTGTCAGGAAGCAGAGCTCGCAATGGGCAGGTGCTCAGTCTGGCTGGCAACAACCAAAGATGGTGCAGGGGGGTGGGGGATGGGGGCCCAAAGAGAAGCCTAGGGGTAAGGACAGAGTGAGGTCAGGAAGGGACCTTACACTGTTTAGAATGCTTGTGTTTTGGGCCCCGGCTGGGCGATGGCCTCAATGCTGTCCCAGACTGGCATTGTAGGTCACACCCTGGGTGCTTAGAGCTGGGGTGCAAGCTGCAATGGGGGAGAGGGCCTGTCTTGCAGAGAGCCACACAGATCAGCAGCGTGCCCTTTGTGGATGAGTCCTCCGGGTCAGACGATGACTGCAGCTCTCAGGCCAGTTTCCGCAGTTCAGTTCCCTGCTCTGAGTCCAGGAAGACGAGTGGACTAGGCAGCCCCCGAGCCATCAAGAGAGGTACAGAAAAGGGCAGTAGGGGTGGGTGGAACAACAAGGGGCCCCTCGCTTTTTCCCAGGAGGCGTTTGTACATTGGGGTCCTCGCTTGATCTATACCCGTGATCCCCAACAGCTCATTCCCAACCCAGACTTGGGGACCCAGGCGAGTGAAGGCCCTATAGGTCCTGGGCTGTGTAAGCTGGGAGAGGAGCGACCCAGCCCCAATTCCTCTCCCTGGCCAGGTGTCTCCATGTCCTCACTGAGCTCTGAGAGTGACTATGCCATTCCCCCGGACGCCTGCTCCTTGGACAGTGACTACTCAGAACCTGAGCACAAGCTGCAGCGCACTTCATCCTACTCCACCGACGGGCTGGGCCTAGGCGGGGTGAGCTAGACACAGCCCCACACCCTGACAAGGGCCAGGGGGTCAGGGTGCGAGCAGACTCCCAAAAGGGCTACCTGAGGGCCTCAGCATGAGACTCGGGCAGCAGCTATATGAGGTGAGGGCCCCCTGGGTTTGTGAAGGGAAAGAGGGGCTGTGGGGAGTGGGCTGGGGGTGGTTCAGTTAATAGAGTCAGACATACACAGACTGTAAGGAAGGAAAGAGGGAGCCCGTGAGCTCCTTGACGTACCTGGAACAGCCCACCAGGCCCTAGGAATTTTACCTATATGAACGACCCTGTTTTACCTCCTCCCTGACCCTGGAAAGTCAATGTGAGCCAACACTTATTGGCGCTGTGTTCCATGTTCTTCATGCATTGTCTCATCTGTCCTCTGGTCCTCTCAGGATTATTAGCCCATTTGGTGGACAAGAAGTCCGAGGCTCAGAAATGTGCTACTACTGTGTGCCAGGGTTCCACACCCCTCTGCTGCCCTGTCGTCCTCTCCCCGGCTCCACAAACCCTCCACCCCAGCTGGGCAATGTGCCCTTGGTCCCCAGCCTTACCTTGCCCTCCCTCCCTTCTGTGCTACCTGGCATGGCCTTCCTCCTCAGCTTGTCTTTGAAGAAAAGGACATTTAGATCCAGCTTGTTCCGGAAGCCCTGCCGGCTAACCTCCCCGTCACATCCCCAGTTTGCCATCTTCTCATGGCAAGGTCCTTCCCAACCTGCATGGGAACCCCTCCTTGCCAGGACCACCATGCTGTATTTGGTCTTCTCTGAACCCTCAGTAGGGCATGGTGTCTCGAACTACACATAGTAGGTGCTTGATAATTTTTTTAAACAAGCAGGTCACAAAGTGGTGACTCAGCTGGGCCATTTGGCCTCTGTGACACCCAGGAGCCCCACTGATTTCCTTTTTCTGTCTCTCTCCTCCTTGCACCCTTTTTTACCCCTCAGGAATCACTGGAGAAGTCAGGCTACCTGCTGAAAATGGGGTCTCGGGTGAAGACATGGAAGAGGCGCTGGTTTGTCCTGAGACAGGGACAGATTATGTATTACAAGTCTCCAGTGAGTCTCCTCCACCCTCTGAGTAGCCCCCACCCCCACCCCAGGCTCAGAACTGTGTGAGAGGGGCTGGAGGAGGGGCAGTATGTGGCCTGAGGCCAGAAGTACCAAGTTGTGGCAGGTGGGGAGAGAAAACCTGATGGCACCAGAGGCTTCAAGCCACATATGGGGACCATGAGGCCAGTTGCAGTTCTCACAATGACACAGGCCTTGGGGCAGTCTAGGGCCACTTATTTGCCATACTTGATAAAGGATGTAGTAGGAAGAATCCAGGTGCATTATAGCTCAGTAATAACCTGGCAACTTCTTTTTTTTTTCTTTTTTTTTTTTGAGAGGTTTTTGTTTTTTTTTTTGCTATAG